GCGCCCCCCGGGGGCGGGACGGTGGCTGTGTCTGCCGCCGATATCTTGGGGAGCTTGTTTACTTTGCCCTGACCTGGGTATAAACTGAGCAATACAAGACAGCTGGTTCAGTTTCCTTATGCATCTTTTTTTCTTTCCCCTTCTTCTTTGCAGTATGTGGTCATTCCAACACGACGTGCAACCGCAGTGGCCTTGCAGAGTTTCACTTCACACCTCCTGGGAGATGCTGGCAGCCCTTATCTGATTGGATTTGTAAGTGCTCACAGCAGGTTTTGGCAGGGTTGCGTGCCCGTGTTTGTTTTTGTTTACTAACTGCCTATCTAAAATGCCAAGTTAAACCATGCTAGGGAAGGAAGGCCTGTATTTATCAGCAGAATGGGAAGCAGTGCGGTGCAATGCAACTTTTTTACATGCTTAGGTTATTGGTGGGCTACAATTCAAACCTGGAAGGACCACTTGGGCATGACAAGTGAGCTGCTAAATCTTTTTAGCCTAGGGCATTTGTAAAGCTTATAGACAGCTCTGTAAAGGGAGAGCAGTTGCTTCTGTGGTGTGGACATAGGTCCATTAGAAATTAGATTGGAACAGTTGTGTGTGTGTGTAACTGTTAATCTGGTCTCATAAACCAAATATCTATTTATGGTTAGCAACATGCAGCTGTTCTGACCTGCTGATATTTTGAACCTGTTTTGTATGATAGTAAATGACGGTGTAAAATCCATGGCAGGATGGGTGTGTATGTTTTGGGGTTTTTGTTAGTATTCCTTTCCAGTGCTTTGGTTTTTTATTAGTAGTATTCCTTTCTACTACTGCTGCAGTTGTTGGCCTTGGTCTGACTGGAGATCTCCCGTATTATGCCACTGTTATCCTAGTGCAAAGCAAAACAACAGACCCTGCTCCAAAAGCCGGCAATCAGAGAACATTCACAGTTGAAAATGTAAGGCCTGGGAAATGTAATGAGGAAAAGAAATCTAGATATACTGGGGTAATTTCTTTCCCTTGCACCCTTCTGTGGAGTTTGATGCATTGAGTTTCAGAGAACACAGATCATCGTTTATAAAATACGGTAGCTTCCATGTAAAGCCCTAAGTGGCAGTGCTCATGTTGTGTTGAAGGTGCTACAGTTTTCCAGTGATGTAACTGGGATCTTCACTAGCCCCATCACCTGAGAGACAGAACTTTGGTGTGCTCTTCCAGCTCTCAGTACTGCTATGTGACACAGCTGCTGGCTGCTGTGGACCTTTTTATTTATTTTTTTTTTAAACTGTCATTTCTCATCTATTCATCCCATAGACACTGGTGTATGTATCTATAAATATTTATTTATATATATACACATTTAATTTTATATATACATACGTATATATATTTAACTATACATAAATATTTACTCTGGAATGCCAGCTCCGAAAAATAATATAGTTGCTCTGTAGCCCTCTGAAGCATACATGAAGAGACAGATACAGATAAGGCTGAATGGATCAAAGAAATGAGAAATGTCTCAAGAGAATAAATATGTACAATTTGGCTTGCTCTTTATTTACTTCAATGTTCTGGGCATCCAGGGAGAAATGATCTTATTTTAGAAATTATTTGAAAGTGGCAAGAACAAAGGAATCGCTGGAAGAGACTGCTTTGTGCAGGGCGGGCGACATGGGGAATGTCAAGCAGGAGAACGACATAAGCAGGCCAGCGTGCTCTGAAGGCCGGCGCCGGCGGTGGGAGGCAGGGTGTGAGATGCAGGCCAGGCTGTCTCAGGTGACTCCGCTGCACGTTCAGTCTTTTTCTTACGCAAGAGGGATGTCCGAGAGGAATGGCAAGGACCCTGAATGATTGCAATTAATCTTGAAAGTTGCCTGGGGCTCTTTAGTGTCACAGATTTAAAAAAAAAAAAAAAAAGGACTTTGGTTGTAGAAAATAATGTGCCTTGCCCTTCTGGTATTCAGAGATCAAGCAAGTTGTGAGTTACTTAAGGATGCCTGCCTGAAATATGCTTAACCCCAATTTAATAGCTGCCTTAGGCTTTCTTTAGACTGGGAAAATATTAATTATGATGTTGAATTACTCTTTTCTAATGCTGTTCTTGTTGGGCAGTTCTCATTTGGGAGGAGACTCCTCAAGTGCAAGGCTCTGTGGCAGGAGAGCAGGAGTGAAGCGCTCATGTCATGGAAGGCATCAGCATCCATTTCTGTAGCCTCTGGACTGGCTTGGCTGATTCATGCTCCCTGTGCTACAGTGACTGAAAGGTCAAGGGCAGCTTTCACATAACACAGAAAAACAAATACTGTTTAAAGGGAAAGGACCAACAGCTAACTTCCCCACCAGAGCTAAGACAAGCAACCAGCTTGATTGTTAAAACCTGCAGGTGTTTGTCATTGGAATTGTCCAGCTGAGTTGTAGGATGGAGCCCTTCATGCGGGATTGAAACCTTACTTCGGGAGGTTACAGGAGTGGCTTGGATTATGACTAAGATTTTCAAGGCAGTCTATGGGAGCTAAGCAACCTACTCCTGCTGGCTTTAAGGAAAATTTGGGAACCCAATTCCCACAGTCCTTCTGGGAATCCCCAGCCTGAGGACATTAACTCACACTGCTGTTACTCCAGAGTTACCATGAAGCAGACCAAGGGCAGGGTGTAGGTCTTGAAAGAGGGAGGCAGAAGGCAGGATAAATCAAATGAACCGCAGTAACAGGCATGCTCAGAATGGGTGAAACTCAGCCTCCCGATCACTCAGGGTTCATCTGCGATCCTGAAAATCTGCCATTTCTTCTGACTGCTTACAAAATCCGCCTGCAGCTCCCTCACTAAATGAGCAGTGTTTTGATCACATATAGCTAGAATCTTACACAGTCTGGGTGAGTTTGTAGCGAGATTCCCTCTAGCAGTGCTCTTAATAAAGAATCCGATACCCGTATCCTTGTAGGACTAAGCTGTCGCAGGCAGTTGTCTCTGTTTGCTGGATACCAATAAATGTGTTGATCGTATAATCCTCATGTGGAACGTGGAAGGTACTTAACAGCTGCAGCCTCACGTGTGTGATTGCTCCCTCGCGCTGTGGTGTGCCGTAAGAGTTGAAGGTCAGACTCAGATTTTTCTGTAATCTCTCCCAGTTCCAAATCTTGCAGTGCAGTACCTTACAATCACCCAAAGCACCAGATATGCTAGTGTTTAAAAGCTAGGTGGAAGGAAGCATGTATGTATGGTTATTTGTCATGTCTCTTTAAGTATTGATAACTTTTATTATGGTAAAAAGGCTTAAGATTGGCTTACAAAGAAGTTATGCAAATGCAGTTTTAGGGTGGCAGCTGTAATTTGCGTAAGGTTTTACTACCTGCCAAGCACTGAGATCAGTTACTGTAAATCAGTGCTGCCCATTCATTCACAAATAAGGGTAGGCATGGCTGCAGTATTTCATTAGATGAGACAGTTTTTATTCCTAGATAACTGTAACTTTTTCAGGACCTTTGTGATAACCTGCAGAGTTTCAGTAATTCCTGTTTAACAACTTGGAGTATAGCTCCATGCTTTATTCTTGAGGTAGTCAGTGAGAAATTTCACCTGTTCAGTGCATTACACCCAGATATCTCTAGTACTTTTCGGTCTTTGAAAGGTCCCACTATGCAGACACGGTTGCTGAAGCACAGAACAGTTAAGAGAAATGCTCTGCATCTCACCACTCATGTGGAGTATCAGATAAAGGTTTTCCAGCTGCTCTCCTGATGCCCTAATAGCTAGCCAGCATTTCAGACTCGGAAGAGATGGAGGTAGGTAGCAGCAGAAGGTGAAATACAGTTAACTCTTCTCAGGCTGCATCGTAGCTCCAGCTCTTTTTATTAATTCTGGTTATATCTTTGTTGCCCTTTAAAACTAAATAATTGTAAGATGTGCCAGTGAGTCTGCGCTTCTGTGTTCATCTGTGCACATGCATGCATGAACCTGTCTTCCCTACTCAGGGTTTACATTGTTCCTCCACACCAACAGCGGTCTCCCCCCACTCGGTTACGTACTCTTTTACTTCAGGAAAACTGAGTACAGGCAGTGACTTTTTTTTTTTTCTGTTGAGGCTGTGCCTTGGTACTTTTTCTTTCCTTCCTCCAAGTCTGTCATTTGCTTCCTATCTGAGCGCAGCAGTGCTTTCCTCTTCCATCCTTGCCTTGCTTCTGGCCCTGGCTGTGATAAGCAACAGGCACCTACTGCAGGCTTTGCTCTCTCTACGTGTGCCAGGGAAACGGCTGTTGTGGGCGCCCGCTGCCCTTGCTGCTCTGGTGCTGTTGGCTCTCCTGTTAGCTTCCTGCTTTACTAGACTCCTCCTCATCTCCCCTGTGCAACCATCCATCAGGTCTAGGGATTGAAACCTGTCTGTATCTCCTTGTCACCTGGCAACATCAACGCATGAGGATGGTGTTTTAAAGTGCCAGAGATCAGCTCTCCTCCACCAGCACCTTTTGATGGACTAAAAGCTACTCCCCAGACTCCACTGGTGGTGGTACCCACCTGTCCTGACCTCCTTGGCTGCCGCATCTTCAGTTTTACCTGAGGGACACGACCTCCAGCCACTCCGGCTGAGCAGCGTCAGGACAGCATGCCATGGTCTGGCAACTGGGCTCTGTGAGAGGGGGGACTCCGGTCGCCCATCTGTGTGCTGAGGGTCGTGCAAAAGCTCTCTCCATCTGCCCATCTCTAGTTATGCAAATGGCAGCGTTACCTGAACGGCTGGGTCTCTGACGGCCTCCTCTTGGCACACCCCGCGACGGTTTGCGGTACACAGGCGTGCTGGTTCGCCTCGCAGCAGAGATCTCAAGTGTCTGAACAGGCATCTTCTCTTTGAACAGACTCCTTTTGAAAAAGAGGTCCGAGTGTGAGTGACCTTGTAATTAATTGTAAGAAAATCTGAGCTGTTCTGGTTTGTTTTGAAGGGGTTTTGTGCAACTCCTAATGTTACCTGGAAAAATTTTATTAATAAGCCTATCGCTTGTCACCCTTCACTTTTCTCCCTTCCCCAACTTTCTTATGTGAGTGGGCTGATAAACTAGATCTAATGAGCTACTTAAATAGCAAGAATGCTAATGACCTTCCTTTAGCAAGTAGTTAGCAGAACAGTGTTAATTATCACTGCTGCAGAGTATCAGGGAAGGCAGATCAGCATTTGATTAGGGGCAACTCAAGGAAAATTGTAGTAAATGCAGCAATTAAGATACTTTTTTAATGAAACTTATAATTGGAGGTGCAGATTTCACAGCCTTCTTGTCCCA